TAGTGTAATGCTGGCTTCATAGAACGTATTTGGTAGTATTCCTTCTTTTTCCATTTTTTGAAAGAGTTTGTGTAGTATAGGCACTAATTCACTGCTGCACGTTTGGTAGAATTCATTTGTGAAGCCGTCTGGGCCTGGGCTTTTGTTTTTGGGGAGTGCTTTGATTACTGCTTCAATTTCGCTGCTTGTAATTGTTCTGTTTAGTTGTTCTATTTTTTCTTTGTCCACCTTTGGATGATTATATCATTCTAGGAATTTGTCCATCTCTTCTAGGTTGTTGAATTTGTTTGCATATAAGTGTTCATAGTAATCTCTGATTATTCTTTTGATTTCTACTGAATCTGTTGTGATTTCTCCTTTTTCATTTATAATCCTATTCATGTGTTTTCTACCGTTTATTCTTGTGAGCCTTGCTAGAGGTTTGTCTATTTTGTTTATTTTTTCAAAGAACCAACTTTTGGTTTCATTGATCTTTTGTTTTTTTAATTTCTAATTCATTTATTTCTGCTTTGATTTTTATTATTTCCTTTCTTCTACTGGCTTTGGGGTTTTTTTGTTGTTCTTTTTCTAGTTCTTTGGGATGTGAGATTATGTGGTTTCTTTGAGTTCTTTCTTGTTTGTTGATGTGAGCCTGTCTTGCTGTTTATTTTCCTCTTATTACTGCTTTTGCTGCATCCCATACATTCTGGAAAGTGGTGTCCTCCTTGTCATTCAACTCAAAGTATTTTTTAATTTCTTCTTTGATCTATCTCCTCATGAGTCCAGTGGTCTTCCAGTAATGTGGATTTCAATCTCCAGGAAGTGGGAGGGTTCCTTGTTTTCTTTTCATGATTTATTTCTAGCTTGATGCCTTTATGGTTGGAGAAGATAGTTGGAATGATTTTGATTTTCATGTATCTGTTGATGTTTGTCTTGTGACCCAGTATGTGATTGATTCTGGAGAATGATCCATGCGCACTTGAGAAAAATGTGTACTTGGATTATTTTGGGGGCAGTGTTCTATAGATGTCTGTTAAGCCTATGAGTTCTATGTCTTTATTTAGGACTCTAGTGTCTTTGTTTATTTTTTGTCTCGATGATCTGTCCATTGGTGAGAGTGGGGTGTTGAAGTCTCCCACTATATATGTATTTTCTTTAATATCTGCTTTCAGAGCTGATAATAATTGTCTAATATATTTTGGTGCCCCTTCATTTGGTGAGTATATATTGATGAGTGTTATATCTTCCTGATGTATTGTTCCCTTGATCATAATGTAGTGTCCCTCTATGTCTCTTTTTACTTCTTTTAATTTGAAGTCTATTTCATCTGATATAAGTATGGCTGTTCTGCCTTCTTTTTTGGTCCATTTGCTAAAAACATGCTATCTTATAAGAAAAAAAAGAATGCTTAACTCCACTTCTCTTGTCAGTTACTGACTTCGGACCCAGTTTTTTTTTTTTTTTTGTTTTTGTTTGTTTGTTTTTTTTTTTTGGTTCTCTTTAGATAAAAACTTTGCGAAGAATCACCAACACTTTGCCTCCAATTCCTCTCCTCCTTTTTTCCTACTACTCCTCTGAAATACTATTGTCACAATCACCAATAGCCCCCGGCCCACATTGCTAAGCCCAGTGGTCAGTTCTCAGGCCTCATCTTAGTTGACCAAGCAGCAGCACTGAAGGAATACATTGTAATAACTTTCTCCCTTGCTCTGCTTTATTCACTTTACTTCTAGGAGGCCACAAGCACTTGGTTTTCTTCCTTACTAACCTGTTGGTCATTCTCATTACCTTAGAATGCCTTTCTTTTCTCTAGAATCTTGTACAACCAGAAGTGCAGACCTTGACCTTCTCCATCTGTGATGACCTCATGGCTTTAAAAATCACCCATATGCTAAAAATGTATGTACATTTTCAATTCTATGCCTCTCCTTAATTTCAGATCAATATATACAAAAGCATAATTGATATTTATACTTGCAAGTAAAATCAGGCCTCTCCAGCAGATACACAGCCAAACCCCAGAATTTTCCACTTTAAGATTATTTACCTTGCAATATTGTCTCTATTGATGGAAACTATCCTCCTTCAGTTGTTTGGGCTATAGACCTTTCAATCATCCTGAAGCCCTTCTCAAATGCTCAAACCAGTATCTCAGCAAACTGCAGGATCTGCCTTCAATAATTTCTCACCACATCCATTGCCACCACCTTCATTGGTGGTTTTGGAGCCATCATCTCTCACCTCAGTTATTATAGAGTCAACCATGGTTCTCTACCTTTTAGTCTCAATACAGCAGCTAGTGTGTTAATACTAAATCACATCATCTCACTTTTTGGACCCAAACTCAACATTATATCCTCATTTCACTCACAGAAAAAGCCACAGGTTTTGTATGATGTGACTCTCTTTCCATTATTATTAGTTCACATTTCCAATCATCTTTACCTCCCCATTGTTCCCTAAAACAATGAGGCACATTCCTTTCTTGTGGCATTTTAATCTAGCTTTTCTGTGTAATATTTTTCTCTTAGACCAGGGATCCTCAAAGTAGGAGTCCTAAGCCAGTAGCATTAGTATCACCCAAGTATTTTGCAGAAATGCAAATTCTCAGGTCTTACCAGATACCTACTGAATAAGGAATTCTAGGTGGAACCCAGCAATTTGTGTATTAATCAGTCATCTAGATGATGTAACAACATGCTGAAGTTAATAACCACTGATCCTGGACATCTATTGATACATGGGTAATTTCTTCACTTCCTGCAAGTTTGTTTAAATGATGGTTTCTGAATGCGACCTATGCTGACCACTCTATTTAAAACAGCACCTTTTACTCCTTCTCTAGCATTCCACAATTTCCTGTACTCTGCTTTCCTTCTTCCTCTTTATCATCATCCATATCTCCTAAAATATGCAAAATTTACATGATCTTTTTACATTTTACCCACTGATCTACACACATGCCCCAACTAGAATCTCAGACAATGTAGGTACTCAATAATTAAGCACCATTTATCAATTAACTTAAGTGCTTATTTAATATAAGACAATTTAAGATATGGCCAAAGGAAACAGTTATACAAGGAAAGCATGCCCAACTAGTTGGCAGGGAATCCTCTGAGAGGTGGGGACTATACGCCTGAGTTCATAATTAACAAATGTCATCACATTTCATTTTAAGGGATGCTGAGGTCAAATATGTCTATTAACTCTCCTGATAATGGACATGCTTAATTGAACATGGGAATAATCCAAACATCCTGACCACTATTTGTCTTCTTTTCCCACTATTAATGAAAAGGTAGAAGAATAAAGGTTACTATCTAGTCTCTCAGACTGTAGAATCATGGCGGTGTTAATGTCTTAGCATGCCTCAGGCACCATGCAGAAGTATTATGTGCTGATTATACCCCTATATTTTCTTAAATAACAGGTAGAGCTTCTTGATGGAACTCAAGGTTGTGGGCAACTGATTCTGTGGTTCCTCCAATCTCCCTGTGTTGGTTGTAAGAGAGGACTGGAGTTTGTCTTTCTGTATATGAGTTTAAAAATGTCCCAAAGCAATCTTGGAATGAAAAAAATGCTGAAGAAAGCAATTGCTTTTTTAAAAAAAGTCTCTACTGTGTACCAATGCCAGAGCTAAGTGCTTTTGTTTGACATTAGCCAAGGTCAACGGCTGTTATCTGCTGCCACTGACAATACAGTAACACTGTAAGTTTAAGTACAACACACACAGGAAATTCTGCTTAACTGTCATTTTTACTACAGACTTATTCCGAAGAAAGTGTACAATTTTGGTGAACCCTTGTTCATAAGAACAATGCCAAGAAATAGGACTAAACAAATCAGATAAAGTTTCTGCCATTTACACAAATTCAATGTAGTATGTTTCTTTGTAAATATTTAATGTTAATCCTTATGTTGCCACTAAATAATCTCAATGTTAGTCTACAAAATTGACTAACCTAAGTAAAATCACAACTACGTAGGATTAAAAAAATCCACCTCTAATTCCTAGCATATAAAAATAATTACATTAATATCATTCTATTTTTTTGGCTCTCAACCATCTAATAGCTTTATTCTGGTACAACAATAGAAAGTCTTAAGGGAAAAGAGGAAATTGCACAGGGATTATAGCCTTAGCATTTAATAGGGTATTGGAGTCTTGATGCTTGTTTGCATTTGCTTGGAATACGTATCTAAGGGAAAATTAAGTTCTAAGCTGAGGCGACTATTTAAAATCCCAGAAAGGGCTCCTGAGAATAGTTGGCTTTTTTGTGACAATAGATTTTCTGATGAAGTACACAGCTCCCTAATGAAAAAGACCTGGCACTGTTTCATAGGATAACATTTGACCAATGCAAGGGACTTGATGATAATTTTGGGAATGAGTGTTTTAATAAAAGAAATATGAAATCGGCTGTGCTTTGGCAGGACATACCCCAAACCATCATGAGAGCTGTCATCCCAGCCTACAGATGATCCCCAGGCGACACTACAACTGTGCAAGTTCCCACTGACATCACCGACAATGCTGGCTCACAGACAAAGACATAATCTAAAAGCACTCATGATAGATTCTGCTTTGTTAAAGTCAAATGAAAAACCAACCAACTTCCCCACTGCCCTCTGCCCATTCCCCCCCCCCAAAAGCCCTATCCTGAAATAGTTCTGAGGCTCAGCGGCTACTTAATGTATAAGTTTGGAGGCAAGCCTATAAACAAAGTTAGGAAAATAGCAATTGTAGAAAAGGAAAGACAAATCTTTAAAAAACGTGATGCAATAAACATGATAAATATGAAATAAAAAAGTTGCAAAAAGCAAATGTGAATTATCCAGATCTCAGGATAATCTAACAGTTCGATTCTGGAGCAACAGGTCATTAGTTCAGAAGAGGATAACACTTGCTTCATTAATACACTGATATAAAATGAAAATGCAGTAAATCTATTACTGTATTGATAACAGACATATAGATAACATTGACATATAGATTAATACAAACTAGTTAATGTTACCCGCATAAATGCTTGATGTGTTTGACAGTTAGTTACTCTGCTTGACACTTTCATGCTTCCTGTAATCACATCAGAAGTTCCATTAGAAGAAAAGTAAAATCTTGATGGAGTCTCTGTCTTTCGGTTCACATCCAGACTCATGTTATAAAACAAAACTGCAAAATCGTAGAGAGATTGCAATTAATATAGTTATCTAAAAATATTTACATTGTTACATTCAACGTGGTAAAAATAAATTTAGTGGAAATATCTTAAATTCTCTCATCATTAGTTTTTTAAATGATCCTGAACTATGAAAAAGGGAAAAGTTTAAAAATATGAATTTTAAAATCTTTATACATTAATGAAAAATTTATTAACTTTTCTCTAGGCTTCTATTTTTTAAAATGATATTAATATCTTTGGTGATCTGCCTAATCTTTCTATATATAAATGTCTCAATACTTGAATTCCAAAACTGTTACTAATAATAAAAGTCCTGAGTAAAGTTTCTGATTTCAAGTCCTTTTTGTCCTTAAAACAGCTAGCTAAGGAAGAAAAGACAAAACACCACAGGTGCTCAAATCTCACAGGCAATATTCTGCCTTGTGTGGTAACACATCTAATTTAATTTTTGGTTAATGTCATTTGTTTGTTTCTGATTGAATGAGAGGGGTTGCTATTATTTTGTTTTGTTTTTTAAAGTAAGCTGAACACATCTTTAAAAAGTCAAATCTATGTAGTTTACGCAAAGACCCCTTCTTTGTCACCAAAGACCCAGAAGTCTCCTTCATGTTTTCATTGTTTCTAGTTTGACCTTCCCATGTTAATTTGTGCAAACACAACACACATTGAAGACATTCTCTCAATATTCAATATTGGTACGAATATATTTCAAATCTGGCATAGTAAATCATCTACTAAAGAGGATTTTCAATACATAAAGAAAAAAATTAAAAACAGCTCCCAAATTCCAAGCAGATCTTACCAAGAAAGTAAGACCCAGTTCTTGAATCTAAATGGGTTCTTTACAAACTGTATCTAATGATATGCTGAGATATGACTCATTATATAAGGGCAATAATTCATAAGTAGTATTTTAAATAACTTACACAACTCCTGAAGTGCTCATGTACATCTAGGAGTAACTTACTCTTCTGGATAGTTTGAGCTATTTATTTCAAGGAAGCATGGATATAAAACCTGTATTACTCCTACAAATTTCAGATAAATTTTCAACCTACCTTTTATTTAGAAAATGAACTCCAAACCAATTGACTTCAAAATTATAATAACCAAGATTCAATACCTCAGAGAGATAGCTATAATTGAATAGCTATCCACAAATTTATCACCCTGAGCTCAGACAAAAAGTAAGTGAAAAGGTATGAATAACAATCCATTTATGGTATGAGGAAAAATGTCTTGGTTATATTAAACATGCTTACATTGTGAATTATTTCTCTCAAGGAGTCATTTTATGACAACTATAAAGCATGTTTTGTACCAATGCTGTGGTTATTTATGAGTTTAATATATTTGTTTTCAATCACTTTTTAAAAAATATCTGCTGACAGTGGAATTGGTAGTACAACAAACAGTGATTTTACATCAAGGGAAATAGTCCAGCCTATTATCGTGCATCTTTCAGATAATCCATCAGCTTGTGTGTGTTATTGGGGTCACACTTTCAAACTGCACTTCGCCCATCAATAACTGGATGAAGGTCTTGCCCACAGTCCTATCATTCAGCTCTAGCCAGGACCCTGGCAGAATACAATCAAAAGTGATTCTGATGAAAAGCAGATCCCAGACTCATTCTGTCCGTCTCCTTACAGGCTTATTCAGACTGAAACCTGTTACATGTCCACAGTTTGACTTAAGAAACATTTGTTGTCCTTCATATTGTTAGATGCCTACAGCCAGAAAGGTTATGAGTACAATCAACTCTAGATGGTTCTTGTGAGGCTCAAGGACTGAATTATAGATGTCAAAGTGATAAACTCAAGTATACTTCTCTCCTATGATGGGCTAGTTTCAACACACATAGAGCAGAAATGGAAGCAGGATGCTCCAGGCTTACTAGATTTCACTACACCTAATTGCCAGTAGGGGCTACAAGAATCAGATTCACACTGAAATAAAAATGAAAGGTAATTTTTTTGAAATTTGTCATTTTGGGCCAATTTATAAAGGTCTATCTGAACCCTTCTGTAGACAGAGAGGGAAGTTAATTGGCACCTCCCTAAATTCATTCTGTTTCATTATCCTGTAACTTATTTTTGTCATCTTGTTTAGAGTCAATTTAACTGGTTGTAGAACCACTATATTAACATCTTAAGCACTACAAATAATACTAAACATGAGCAAAAAAAAACACACAAATATGTATTCTAATATTAGCTTTAGTATAACATAATTAGGAATGTTTATCTGCCATAAAAATATAACACTTATAAAGTCACATGTATTTGCCTTGAGATTATTTAACCCCAATCCTGGATGAGCCATATTAATACTACTTTCTCAAAGCAGAAACTTGAGAGTTCCCTCTGTATAGGGAAACAGGCATGGCTCTCAGGAAATGATTGTCAAATAGTAAGTCCTTAAGAGATGTGTGTTATTTATGGAAATTAGAATCAGATTCTATACTCCAGGTAAGCTTCTTCAATTACTCAAACAGACTAGAATAAGAAGAGTCTCCTTCCTCTTGGATCTTCCAATGTCAGCTAGTTTAGACTTTAAGAAGCCCAGTAAAACAAAGGAGGAACCGTGATGTTTTTCTACTCTAAAGACATCTTATAGACTAAGCTCAGTTAGTTCACCTTAAATAACACAGGAAGTGATACATGGCTTCTTGCCACAACTTCTGAACAATTACAATCTTAACACACCCCACACACTGACATTTCAGGTGGCTGCTTTTTCCTGTGCTAAAGAAGACCCCATGGTGAAACAAACTGAGGGTTCATAAGATGATCCAGAGGTGAGTGACAAAGGGCACACTTCATTAACTCTTCATTAACTCTGCTAGGGTACACTTACCAATATAACCTGGAACTTCTTTGCCCTTGTATGAGAAACAGAGTGTCAGATTCATGCACACAGAAGGCAGCCCATTTTCAATACAGTCAAACTTCGTTCTATTTACTGACTCGGGATGACTTAAGAAAGCATCAACAATCACTACAGGCCTTGTCCTAGGAAGAAAATAAAATTAGCAATATTATTAATTGCAGAATTATTTTCCTTAAGAATTACTCTGATATTATCAGCTTCCATGGACTAAGTAATTTCACAAAACTGCTTGCTTTCTTAATAGTCTGTGCATATATGCTCTTAAATTTCCATACATGAGTAAACAGAAATTTTCATTTAAATTTGTAAAAATATTGACTTTACCTGATGATTTGTTAATTATACTTAAGGTGAGAAAAGTATCTTGAAGTTCAAAAATTAAATTTCAGAATATCAAAAAGAGTATTACAAGGTCACTACCATGATTTTAAAAGTTGCCTCCCATCATTTACAGTTAAACCCATTATCATTAAGCAGTGAAATGATTCAACCTTACCTTAGCAACACAGCAGAATTAGACTGAAAAGCACCAACTGCTACATCTGGAAGATAAAAAACAATATAGATTAATGATCATCGTTAGTCAAAGAGAATTACTTTTCAACCATAAATGCCTAAATACATTTCACTTTTTGAATATTTACAGAAAATTAATTAGAAAAGATATGCTTACATCTTCAAGTTCATTCCACATTTGTCTGAATCTATTCATTTACAGTGACATTCACCCATTTAAAATATAGTAGAAAAACAAACTTTATGCTTAAAACTTAAATATATATAAAAGAAGGCTTGTAAAAAATACTCAATTTTTGGATTAGAAATAGTCAACCAGAAATCTTCTTTCAAAGTACAAAAAGTGGCCTTCTTTTAATCATGTGTTTCATTAATTTTCATGGAAGCGTCTCACTATTTTCAAGAACAAGGAATAAAATGTTAAGAAACTATTAGTGTAGGGCCTTCCCGGTGGCGCAGCGGTTGAGCGCTGGGTTGCAAAGCTGCCCGCAGCCTCAGTGGCACCGGTTCAATCCCCGGCTGCTCCCCGGCCACTGGAGGAGGGTCCCACATGGTGCGCAGACCTCTCCTGCCACCCGCTGCTCCCCTCAGCAGTGTACTTCGGTCCCTCTGCCTGCTCTGTTCTCCGCTCTGGCTCTGGTGAATTCTCTCACCCTCCCGTGCTTCTGACTGTACCCAGTGCATGTATAAACAAAACAAACAAACAAATAAATAAACATGCCTCTATAAAAAAAAAAAAAAAAAAGAAACTATTAGTGTAGAGCTCAAAGAATGACTTATTATTTATGACCTGTCCTTGAATTCAAAAGAGCCTTAAAAATGAAAGAAAAAATCAGTAAATTAGAATTCTTCTATTCAGGTTTTATGTACTTCACAATAAAACATCTGCAATAGTGCTTATTCCAATTTATAAAATACACTTATACTTACCTACATATCCATTATTATCTGCATCAATTTGTCCAGATATAGACTGTCCAAACATACTTAGTGATTTACTAATTTGAATTCCTTCAATTCTCTGAAAAATAGGTAAGTTGAGTAGGAAGCAGTTAATAAATACTGAATATTAGAGACAATCAATGACATGGTTAAATATGCCTTCTTATGTGCTGGCACATCTATTAACAAAACAGATTTCTGATAAGTCAAATACTTGTATCAAAGACAGACAAAAGTTTCCAGTTTAAAGTGGGTTGTGTTATCATCTATTCTGCAATTAGAAAAAAATTTATTATTTTGTACTTTGTGAACAAAGGGAAAACCACATAGGGCAGATCCCTTAAATAGTCCTGGTTCCTTCACCCTAGTCTTCTTTCAAGCTCTGCTTCCCTGACCAACATGAATAATAACCACACAAGTAGTCTGGAAAGTAAGACATTTGTAATCACTATGTGCTTCCTATTCTGTATGCCTAACTCTATGTTCAAGTACTGATTTATAAGTATTAGGCTGCAATCCATCCTAAGAAAACCAGTATTTTTTAATTACACAAGTATGCATCTTTCATATTAAATATAGAGGGATATTTGTGTATTTTGTACAATGAAAAGTAACAGTATTCACTAATGCTTCTATAAAAGTTGCATTTGGAAAAAAATGTTTTTCTCTTTATGATTATGTAGTTTTTAATATACTGAAAATACCCTAATTTCCCCGATATAAAAGTCAGAGTTACATTAGGTAACTTCAGTAAAATACTATTGTGTAACTGCTCTGCACTGAAACCAACACCAGGCATCACGAGTGTCTGCATCCCTATGAAAGTGTCCATGAAACCAGGGCTTTAGTCACAAGGCAAGACGTAGTTAATCAAATCCAAATGGACTTATTTGAAACAGTTTAGCTATTAGCTCAGAAAAGAAATGAAGGGAAATGCAGAGGGAACTCTTTTAATAGGCTAAAACAAATTAGAATGAAATTGAAACCAGAATTCTTATTTTTTAAAAAAATGTTTTGTTATTAATGACCATAAAAATGAGCTTATATACTTATTAGTGAATAAGGAAGAAATAGTAAAATAACATATTAAATATTTAAAGAGCAAGCCAAGAAAAGTCGATTGACATTAACACGGAAAGTTATTTTTTCCTGAATGTTTTATTCTTTTAAAAATTTTTTTCACATCATTGTTCATTTTTAAACAATATTTGCTTTCCCCCACCCCCTCAGGTGTAGTATACCCATATAACTTCCTTCACCAATGCACTAATAAGGAAAGTTTTTCTTTTTTAAGATTTATTTATTTATTTATACAAGCACTGGGTACAGTCAGAAGCGCAGGAGGGTGAGAGAATTCACCAGAGCCAGAGCGGGGAACAGAACAGGCAGACTGACGAAGTACACTGCTGAGGGGAGCAGCGGGCGGCAGGAGAGGTCTGAGCGCCATGTGGGACCCTCCTCTGGTGGCTGGGGAGCAGCCGGGGATTGAACCGGTGCTGCAGAGGCTCCGGGCAGCTTCGCAACCCAGCACTCAACCGCTGCGCCACTGGGGAGGCCCACTAATAAGGAAAGTTTTAAGGAAGCTTTTTTATTATCGAAGCTGCTTTTGGGAATAGAAGAGCATCCTACCTGTGAGAAGGCCGGTGAGATCCCGTCTGCTCGGCCATTGTAAATGTAAATGGCACCTTGCAAGTTATCTTCTTGTGGAGCTCCAATAGCAACATCTATGCAAAATTTAAATGGCCGAAAAATTCATTCTTGATACAAAGAATGCCTCTCTAAAAGCTCTCATTCATGCACCTCGATTCATATCACACAAGAAAACTCCTACCAAAAAAAAAAAGCTTTCCTCACTGGATCCAAAAAACAATTACAAAATACTAACATCATCACAGCAATATACAGAACTGCACAGAATAGTTTGCGCTTAGGAGAAGCAGAATGAATAGGTCTGAAAAATTCTCACAGAATGGTGAGGCAGACAGCTAGGGTCTGACCCCAGCACTGGGTGTGCCCACCTGCATTTTGCTGGGTCCATTCCTTAACCTTTGTTTGGTTCCCACACATACAGCCTGGGCTCTGAAGAGAAGACACCTCGGGGAAGAACAACCTAACTCATGTACTGCTTATAGCAGCACCTGGTATATATTAAGTTTTATTATCTATGAATTTTATGACCATGAAAATCTCTATTTTTGAGATCTCAACTTCCCCTTATTTGCAAAATGACTTGTAATTCTTATTCCAGTGAAAGTGATTGTTTATTAATACACACACATCCATACAAAGTAGATTTTAGAAAATGAATTTCTTCTATAAAAACTGCACCACCTTTACAATTTCGAGATTCACATCAGATTATGATACAAGAAAAAGGGGATTTCATCAACTGACAAAAGAAACTTAAGCAAAAACTAAACTATAAATGTGGTTGCTCAAAGTGCTATAAATATACAACAAATATGAGTAATACTCCACAACTGCCATTATTTTTAACCAAGAATTATGCCTTTTTGAATATATTCTTAAATTCATATGCATTTTTTCTTATTACTTTCATAAAAACCTAAAATATAAGCATTTGCTTTTGTTAAACTCCATATTTATCACATGGAAAAACTTTAACAACTACACTGGTGGTTTTTGATTACTATTTCAATGGGAATTAAAAAAAAATGTAACTCTGCCAAATGAACAATTTTTAAAAGGCAAGTTTTTCTATTTTTCATCTAAAAATGTAGACATACCTTACACTTTGTTTCGACATACTAAGCCTACCTGCTTTTGCCTTCTAAAATTATTTTCCTATGTAAATATACCATTCATTTATTTATTTATTCAGTGAGTAACCACTGAGCACCTACTGTATTCCAGGTGTTTTCCTAAAACTGGCAATACAGGGCAGCGACACATAAAGGAAGTGATGATCTAATGGGGAAGAGCTGCAAGTAAAAATGGAGTAATAACAGGACACTGGGACACAAGGTGGTGAAAATTAAAGGTGACTTCTCAGAGATGTCTAAATTGCGATTAAGATTTTGACAAGTCATAGCCAAGTAAACAAAAGCGAGAAGAAGTATAGACAGAGGAAACTGATTAAGGGAGCAAGGGGTAGCATGGCACACGTTAAGAATGATGGTAACCAGATTCATATACGCAGGAGGAGAAAGAAGGGACAGGAAGGAGGGAGATAAAGGAAAGGCGTAGGGGGTAAAGTATTCTATAATCACTAAAGACAAACCATCTGCAGTGTGATTAAGACTGGGTTTTTTCTTAACGATTGTGCTAAATCCTAGGCAACTAAAATTCTGTATCTTGATTTTTAATGACATTTAAACAGATATTAAGCCTGAAATATGAAGTTGTCTTTAGACAATTACAGGTTCAGTTATTAGGACTAATGATCTATCTTAAGATACTTTGAAACAATATAGATGAGCCTTTTCAGTTGAAATGCTAAAAAGGCCCAAATCAATTTATTTTTTGATAATTTGACAAAAGGTTTATTAGACAATCAAAATGAGGATTCAAACTCAGGGAGCAGTCAACAAATTGGCCCATTCAATTTCATTCCAAGAAGAATGGATTTATTCAGTCTTTGGCTATCTGATAAATAGATCCAAACTCTTACTTATTAGCAGCATTATAGTCAGATCTGTTATATAATCTACTAAAGTTATAACTATCATAGGAATGAGGAAAATTAATGTTTTTCCATGTCCATTCAACCTTAATTTGGGATACAACATATAGAACAAACACTGACATATCATATTATTGTTATTTTTCAGTTGAACAGAAAATTTCATTCTGTTAACATAAATCATACAATCATTAAGATAATCATAATCTCAGCATCAGCTAATAATTACATAGTGTTTATAAGGTCAGGAACTGTGTTAGGGACTGTATACATTAGTGCATAGGATTTTCTTTTTTTTTTTAAAGAGTTATTTATTTATTTTATTTTTATACAAGCACTGGGTACAGTCAGAAGCACGGGAGGGTGAGAGAATTCACCAGAGGCAGAGCGGGGGGGCAGAGCAGGGAGCAGAGCAGGCAGAAGGACCGAAGTACACTGCTGAGGGGAGCAGCAGGCGGCAGGAGAGGTCTGCACACCATGTGGGACCCTCCTCCGGTGGCCGGGGAGAAGCCGGGGATCGAACCGGCGCTGCAGAAGCTGCGGGCAGCTTCGCAACCCACTGCTCAACTGGTGCGCCACCGGGGAGGCCCTAGTGCATAGGATTTTCATGACAACTATATCAAATAAGCATTTTTCATTCCTATTTTACTGATGAGAGAACTGAGGCACACAGTGTAATTTGCTCAAGGTTGCAGAGCCAGAATATAGCACAACTGACATAAACCCTGCAGTGTAATAGCCTGTGCTCTCCACCGCTACACTCTATAAAATTATTACGTATAGGAAGCTTTATCCAAAGTTTTGCCCTCCCAGAACCAATTCCTTTTCAGCCTCAAAGAAGTGTTGAATTAATAATTTGATAATATGTCTATTTCAGGGACACATAAGCAAAGGCAGCTAATACTTTATAATTAGTGGGTTATCGTTGGTCTTATTTCAAAGCTATTTAGGCATACAGTCTAAAATTCAAGTGAAGGAGGTGAGCAAGATGGTAGCAGATAAAAATGTCAGGTTTTCTTCTTCCACTTATTCTCAACCAAACTGCAACCTGACAAAGCCAACAACCCCCATTGGGGGCAACAATACATTGGGGGCAACAATACAGGAGAAAGTGGTAGGAAAAATTGCAATTAAGCTGTTTTAAAAGCAGTACCAGGACAAGAAAACCCATGAGGTGGTGAGCTATTGTATAGAGTCCTCTGCTGTTAAATGCACATGCAAAGATCAGACTTTAAAAACTGGGCACTGCACTGAAGAAGGGGGTACAGAGTTAACATGTAGGACAGTGAGTGCACCACTGGAGAACCACAGGAGTAAGGGTGCAGGGTGATGATTAATGGCTTCAGCCTGAGGCTCCTTAAACTAAAATAGTTTGAGCCCAATCTGACAGGCTACAATTTGCAGTTTGTGGTTGTGATGCATGAAACACCTGCCTTCTCCCACCGGAGCCAAAACCAAGACATGCAATGCTCACAAACCAGAATTTGAAGCACCTGGATCTTAATAACAGGACACAGCGTCCCAAAGGAAGGCTTTGCTTCCTTGAGAAGCAAAGAGAACAATTCACAGCTTGTGGCTCTGTCTCAATTATAGTCTTCACTCAGCTCTGCATCTATTACTCAATCAAGGCCTGGAAGTTGAGGCTGGCACACTTCTGTAGGAGACACTGTGGCCGAGGGGTTGATTGATGGGAGGGGATCACTGTGGACGCCCACCACATCACTTGCTTGGGCACCTGCAGCATTGGAGGAAGCTTGAACACTTGCTGCTCACTGGAGGTAATCTTTGTCACCATTACAGTTCCATTACAGGCCCTTCCAACCTGTTACCCTGCTGGCACCAGTGCCTTCGTCATCTGAACAGACTCAAAGGCATCAGTGATGCATGTCAATTCTATCTCTATAAAATTAAACCCGGACGATGTATAGAAAAAGATATGTTATAAACATGTACTGAAGTAAACCAACATAAATGTAGCCACTCAATGTAAATGTGCTGTGAATTATAAAAAATTCTACATAGCATAAAAATAAAATAGTAAAAATGATCATCTTAATAATCTTTCAGACATGAAGATATTACTTTTAGGGGCTCACTGGTTAGGACTATAAGAGAAAGCATTGTCTGAAACCCAGGTTCTCATATACACTCCAAAATACCACATTGTTCCCTGAAGCTTTCCTCTAAATTTCTTTTCCTAAGTATCATGGACAAAACACTTTCTGTCTGTCCTTCACACCACTGGAAAGTTGCCTGGGGTTTTCCTAAGTACAGGAGTGATTTTGATAAGGGAACTGGCCAACTATCATGACATTTTTACAGTACTGATTATAAGAATTCAGGTTTGTTGTTGACACTTTGATGGCACAAAAATTATTTCTCATATGCAACGCACACATGTGCATGTGCACGCCCATATGTTTTGATACATTCAAAATACTGAATGGTCTTCCTCCAATGTGTCAATTAAAATGATATGGAAGGAATCAGAAGTAAACAAAATAAGTACTTTGTTGAATGATTTTGGTATTAAAGAAGTTAATTTTCTCATATAACATATAAAACAATAAGGTGCATAAACATCCAGAGATGTTTATTAGGTAGTCTCCTTAAACTCACTACTTAAATAGGTTGGTTTATTATTTTTTTTTTTTTGGTAATGTCTTAGTCTTATATTTCACTTTATTATAAGTGTTTTAGAGTGTCACTATTTCCTTCATTTATTATAGCACACGCAAAGGTGTCAGGTATATCTAACACAAAATAATTGCTCAATAAATATAGGATTGCTGACTATTTGTGAAACATAATGTCCCTCAAAATTTTACAGATGTTTTAATGAAAAATGTCTCGTGTAATCATAATAAGCATAAAAATATCTACATATACTTTTTTATCTCCTTTTGTTTTTAAAGTAGTGAAAAATTCTAGAAATAATAATTGTACAGCAAATCACATCTTATATTTAATAGGGTTCATTGGAAATACATAATCAATATGTGCTCTTTTTGTAGAGTAATCCATTTTAAATATTTTAAGTAGAATGAAGCACCCAGGGATAACAAATTAAGGAAGTGGGCATTTATAGTATTCCTTCACTTATTGTCAGGATCCAAATTATTTGACCTAATATTACCATATACCAATTGCCAGTGACAATATCAGGAAGACACAATTCTGGACCCTGAAAATAAGTATAAATTACTTACATGTTGGACTCTAAGAATTACACATTCTTCTCTGAAACCCTTTTGTCTTTTTATACACAGTTTAACAGACTTTGTCATTTAGTTTTAGATTTGAAAAAAAACTTTAAAAGGGAAGGATGCAAAAGACAGGTACTTAAATGAAGGCCTGATATATAGGCAATCATTATCGGTTCCATTAGAGATGCTTCTGTATCAGCCACTGTCTCTAACTCTGTTGCCCCTTTATCAATGTGCTCTTGGGATCCCCAAATCCTCCCACAGTGCAACTGTAAACTAAAAAATGCCTGGAAAAGTAGGGAGAATGCAGATCTCTACTCCGGCTCCAGATCTGTAGCTGGCCTCTGCTGGTTCTTTCAGCCTTTGCTGTGCTGATTGTTAAGGAGTATGGGCCTATGAGCATATAATAAAAGTTTTTTCTTCATTTTTTAACATTCCTGAAATAGGATCCTTCTTATAACAGTGTATCACAATTCAATAAGTAGCAGATTTTAGGTGCACATAAAATATTGCAATTAATCAGTGTTGCCTCCTAATCAATAAAAAGAGCTATTTTGAATGTTATCCCTTAATAACAATGGCAAGAATCAGTAACTGATAACTGGGCCTCCCTGGTGACGCAGGTGGTTGAGCACAGTGCTATGAAGCTGTCCGCAGCCTCTGCAGAGCGGGTTCAATCCCGGCCTGCCTATGAGAACCCCACAGCGCGGCAGCCTTCCCTGTCTCGCCTGCTGCTCTCCTCAGCAGGGTATTTTGTCAGCCTGCCTGTTCTGTTCCCCGCTCTGTCTCTAGTGAATCCTCTCATCCCTCTGTGCATCTGGCCTGTACCCGGTTCTTGTATAAATAAATCTTAAAAAAAAAATTTAAAAAAAGATAATTTTAAAAAAACTTGATAACTTAAAAGTCAGGTTTAACACTAAAAAGGAAAACATGTAGCACACCATTTTGGCACCATTTTTTATAGGACGTAAAACAACATAAAACTAATCATAGGGCCTCCCAGGTGGCACAGGGGTTAAAGTCAGTGCTATCAAGCTATCACCAGTCACTGTAGTATGAGTTGGATCCCCCGCCAGGGAACTAATCCACATGGCACAGCAGACCTCTCCTGTCTTGCCTGCTTCTCCCCTCAGCAGTGTATTTCAGCATATCTGCCTGTTCTGCTCCCCACTGTCTCTGGTGAATCCTCTCAACGCCCCCCACCGACATCTCTGGCCCACACCCCAGTTCTTGTATGCATAAATAAGTAAATCTTAAAAAAAAAAAAACAAAACTAAACATATTCTTCTCCTTGTGCAGAAATCAAGTATCAAATTAGATACTTTTAATTACCTTCAAAGCCATCATTATCAATGTCGCCAAGATTAACTATAGATTCCCCAAATCTTGCTGCATATTTGTCACTTCCAATGAGTTCTGTTTCTATTTCATTCATTACTGCTCCCTAGACAGAAAAGGGGAGAAAAGGCATCATTACAACACTCTAACAACTTTACACATGATTTACTGCTGTAATTGGATATGGATTTTTTTCTATTGCTTCAAACAAGTTGGACAAACTACAAAGTAAGCTTTAGTACACACATCTCAGTTCAATTCAAAAAATATTTATCAAGTATGTCAACACATATAGTAGGATGATTAGAGCTCAAGGACATAAAAAAATTGTCAAATGCATGATCCCTAGCTTTGAAAATCCAATAAATCACTTTGATAACTCAATTTAGCAAATATTTATAGAGTTCCTACTAACGGCACACTGTGCAAAGAGTGAACAGGTGCAAGGGAACAAGTATTTGTGTACAAGACACCTTCCTTTTCCTGAAGTAGCTCACAGTTTTAGGGATGACTTAGCACTGGCAATTGGAGACTCACAAGTTGTACTGCTTTGCATAACAGGAAGGAAGCTGAGTGTATCCAACTGGCAGAGCCAGGAGAGATTTAATCAAGGAGACAACATTCAAGGTAACTATCCAAGGGTCAGCATAATTTTGATATACAGAGAAAATTATCACACACAAAAAAACAAATTTCAAAGTATTTGGCTATAACAAATAAGATAAAAAATCTCAAAGATTGGAGTCTTGAGTTTTTAAACTAAAACCAGGGGAAATGTACTCTCCATTTAGGGAACATCAGGAAGCCACCAAAAGTTTCTGAGTTGAGGAGTGCCACAACTGCAGTTGCATGGATCATGGATTGGTAAAATGATAAAGCTGGAAAATAAGTTATTATAAGAACTATTCAATAATGCTGCAATAATGAATCATTACAATAATGGCTATTGTTCCCAAACTCTGATTAAGTCACTCCCTCATAGTAATAATAATTTTAAAAAATCCAAGCATTGCTTCTCACAGATCTTTTCTTCTTTAAAAAGCCTATCCACCATTCCCTGACCACACAAGTTTTCTTCATGAGATGACCTTCATCTTGCTTTTTGAACTAAAAAAATCCCTATTACTCCTCCTGCTTGAACACTTCCCTTGTATTAAAAAACCTTGACCCAAAACCAAAGTGAATTACTTCATCCACTTGGGATGTAATAATAATGTGCCCTTTACCATGATGTATTTCCTTATTTACTCGCATGTTTATTTCCCTCCTGGTTTGTGAAGTCCTAGAAATCAGGACAAAGATTATCCTCAGCATTTCCAGTTGTTTCATTTGAAGATATTCATTGTTTTTATTTTTTTAATGAGCGACTTTTTAAAATCATCTCTCCAGACACAATCACTGGCACCAATAGCAGTGAATGACTATCAAATGAATAAAGAGCGAGAGCTTCACTCAGAGGGAAATACCTAATTTAAGGAGATGGAAGGAGAGACTTAAAGGAAGACAAGAAGACACAGACCCAGAACAATACAAAGGCACAAAGTCCCGGGGGTGGGGGTGTAATTAAAGAACTGGTGTCATGCTAAGCTTTCTCCAGTTACAGAGAATATGGCCAAGAATTTACCGGAAATCCTTATGTAGTAGTGCCAGTAAGAGGAAGCCAGATTCATTCAAGTATCATTTATTTTTGAGTACATTCTAAAATAATTTGAGTATCTACTTGCCCAGGGCTCTTCTAAGCCCTGAGGAAACAGCAAGAAAGAAAATAGATGAATCCTCTCCACATAGCATCTACACGGCGGCAGAACAGACACTAGCAGTAAATGCATAATGCCAGGTAGTGGCATTCTAGAGACTACCATTTTAGAGAGCTCAGAAATAGCAGGAAGAAAACAAGGGGAACATCATCTGTTCCAGGGGTTTTAAGAGCTGCAATAAATTATTAAATTAACCCTATTGTTTAACAGTGGCACCTCAGAGTAGGGATGAGGGAACAGAGGGTAGTCTAGTGGGTAGGATTCCTCCTCTTGTCCTTAAGCCAAGGAGCTTTACTTTTACCTGTCATTTTCATTTTGAGATAGCTAAGATTTCAATGAGAAAAAGGCATTATATTATTTACTGTATATATGCTACTGCTAAAACTGTTTTCAAAAAGTTTAGTTGCAAAGAGAAGGAAAGGAACTATGCAGAGTGAGGATTTGGCTAGTGTAAGAACACAGTTTATGCACAGGGACATATGAAACGTCCTTGGAAGAATAAAGTAATGCCTGCTAGCACTATAAGGAGATACTAATGATCAATTTGTGGATGATACTTCTGTTATTAAATTTAGATTTAAATATAGTATACAAAATCCCAATGCATAAATAACTACCCTCCTCTATACCTGGAACTGTGAGAATCTCCCACCTTTATATGAGTATTGTCTCTTTTAATCTGCTGCTTAATAGAGGAACTTAATAAATGCTCTGAAACCAATGAATAAGATTACAAATACTTTCTTGAAGCATTTTACTTTGTTGAATCCTGACTGAAAACACCGTGCCTTAAGAAATGAGCCAATCTCACAAACCTGTTCTCACTCTTAGATCAAGGACAGGCCTAGATGACATTAGGCTCTTCGGGTTTTTTGTTTTGATTTAATTCCAAAAGTGAGACTGATAACGCCAGCAAAACTCTTAAAGCTGATCTGCCAGGTAATCAGTTTCTACTCTAAAATATCTGCCATACTTTAAAACTCAACTCGTACTTTAAAACTCATAGCATTAATTGCCTATTTACATAACTACTATATGCGCATTAGACTAAGCTATGTCAATTCTACATTCTTAGTCATAGTTTACAGTTTCCACATTTCTTTATAAAATTACTACAAATAGAAGATAATTATCAAATTATATGAAGAACTCACTACAGAGTCAATAAGAAATCACATTTTGAGAGTTATGTAAAAACCATTCTTTCAAATTAGATTTGCCTCCACTACTTGAATGAACACATACAGACTGTGAGTATGTGTATTCCAACTGATCTCGTACTTCTGGAATATCAAAATGGGACAGATGTCCATTCATCAGTGTGTTCTGTGTCATTTTTAGACCATCAGCATTATTAGTAGAAATTTTATACTTTCATCAGCAGGATAAGCCTAAGAATCTATAACCTTGGGACTCTGCAGAAAGACAACCTTCAGTTTTCATCATAATCTCATAAATGGCTTCCAGTTTTTAAGCAATCTGACATACCAAGCCGGAGTTGATGTACACGAACACTCTCCCTTCCTCCCTGATGACACTCTGCATGGGGGCTCCAACGAGTAGGTCGGAGAAGCCGTCTGCATTGAGGTCCACGGCACAGACAGATGCTCCAAAGTAAGACCCAAGCTGCCCAAAGCAAACCAGATCCAGTCACTGAGTGAAAAGCATGGTTACTCACAAAAGCCCATGGTGATAGCAAAGGTAGAGACATATTACCTTTTTACCTTTCATTTCATGTAAGATGTTTAGTTTTTTTTCCTCTATGCTGAATATGTATGCCTGCAATTTGGGAAAGTAATTAGAACAGGTTAGACTGACAGCACATTGAATTATTGTATTTGAGTGGAGGACTATGTGTACCTTGGTGGGGGCTATGGTGTGGTAGCATACATCTGAAGGGTGCGATCCTGTATCTCTAAATCATATACAGTGTGATAAACAAATGTTAACTCAATAAAAAATTATTTGACTGAAACATAACTTATTACTGTTCAAATATATTTTTTAAATCCTTTCAAGAGTGATACAAATGGAAGCACAACTTTCTCAGACACTGTATTAATCCCTCACAGACAGCAGAGAAAGTAGTATGCCTCACTTTTCAATGTAAGGCTCAGCAAAAAAATTTAGTTTTTAACACCCATGCCACAACAATGTAACTATAAATAAGTAAAATAACATTTCATTTCCTTCTTCTTAACCACAAAACATGAAACTGTCTCAATTCCCCTTCAGTTGTAAATTTTCTAAAATAAATATAGTCCTGGACATTGTGAGATTAATTCACTCGTGAGAAAGGAAAGCCTGATGGGATTTTTATAATTTCCACAAAGTGCTTCCACTAAATTTCATCTAAAGCCAGGCAACTATCACAATTCTATTAAATTCAGCCTGTTAATCATATTTCTATTTTCCATTTTTTAGAATTTTTCAGTTCTTCCTTTAACATCTCATTCTCTCATATAATCTATTTGAATCTCTGTGAAAAAAAATACTAAAGTGCTGTTCTTACTTTACCAATCTGTTCGTGCTGTGGGGCTCCTCCAACTACTTCAGTAGTATGTGGACTCCGAAAATGACCAGCTCCAACGGAGTAGCCTTCAAGAAAATGGAACACCATGTGAAGCTCCTCATTTATGACGGGTAGACTGTATCATAAACCTTCTCATAAAATTAAATGTGACTGAATTAAAAAAAAGTACAATAAACAGTGTTATCAATATTTAGTGAATCAATACTCAAAATTGGTCATTGACTACACTTTGTAGAAATTAATAATGTGTATTATGAAAAGAGTCACATCTATTTCCAAGTCCTAAAAAATGCAGATAGTTCCTTGATTGTGGTTTATTAGTCTCTGTCTAGTATAAGGACATGCTAGATTTCAAAATTAGAACAAAATTTTAATGTATATAAAACATTTTAAATCTAGAATAATAAAGTCTCCCTAAACTTTGATATGAAAAGCTTCCTACTGTGATAAAAATTTTAAAACACAAAAGTGGAATCATTTTATGTTCTCATGTGCTAACACAACATGTACTTCACATGTAGCTTGGTTTAAACAAATCTGTATTGAAGAAACTATAGAAAAGTGTTCTTTTTATTATATCAGGAATTAATGCTAGAAAAATCTTGTATTTTTGTATAAATGTACATTTTAATATGTCTTAATACTGAGTTATTAAATAAGAGGAGGGGGTGAACAGGGTGGGCAAGAAACAAGATAAAAATAGTTAAGCTATGAAAATACTGTAAGAACTCAGGAGGCAAAGGTCAAAGTGCTGTTTTTAGACCCACATGTTTCACAATGTTACACTTGTCTGGAATGCCACCCACAGTCCCATCAACTTCCAGTTGATCCTTTTAAAAAAACTACACTTATTTAACCACTCTTACATGTTTAAATGAGTTAACTCATGTACAGTGTTCGCAAAAGTCCCTGGGATACAGAAGGTGCTCAATAGATGCTACCTATAAACCAGTAAGTTGACTGCATAAATACACATGCTTACAAGCATTTTACTGTAAAGAGTAAACTGACCTAGGAGTTCTTATCTAAGAATTATATATTGATGAATGTAGTCACATATGTAAATTTAAATTTTTAAGTTAACTGCAGTTCTTACATTGTACCCTTAAAGACTTTATATACCCTTTATTTAATGGCTATTGACTATTTTAATCTTTTCAAAAATGTAATTTCCCTTATTTAAAATTACTAGGACAGGACGTATAAGTTAGAGATTATTTAGCTTGTCAATTTTTACAGTACCTAAATAACTTCCAAATTTTACTTGATTCTTTTGGTCTAAAAAAGCCTTGTATTTATTTGTAGTTATGTTGTAGACAAAAACAGAACCAGTCCAGTAAGATGATCCTGGGGCTCCCATCACAATTAAATCCTGTTAAAAGAAAACAACAACAACAATTTGTTGTCAATTAAAAGTTTAAACTCACCACCCAAATCCTCCTTGGAATAAAATTTTAAGTAAAAAATGAAGAAAATAGATCTTTGTACTAAATTTCGGAAATCTGAACAATTTGTACTTTTTTTAAAAATCAGGGAAAAGCCAGAGAAGTTAGCTAATAGAGTTTTACCAAAATGTAGAATTTCAGAGAAGAAATTTTAAAATTCCCACTAGATTCCTAATAGTGTCCACTTATCAGAAAGCAGACTTTCAAATCAAAGGTAGAACCATTAAATACTAAGCTTTCAGGAGAAAGGCAGCATGGTGTCTATTAAAGCAAATCATATCTGGGTAATTCATTAGTGCTCATTAGGAGATAATCATGTGTTGCCAAAGAATAGAAAGTAGACTTAATTTATTTCAATTTGCAAAAAGCCGTCGATTAATTTCCTTAACTATGTAAGCTGAAGAGAGGGAGTGCAATGGAATTTAGAGCATATTTGATGATAAAAAGAAGTTTTTTAAGGAAACAGCAAAGTTTGTAAAGACTTTCAGCAATCAAAACCTATTTAATATATTTCTTAATTTCCTAAATAATCCTGAACTTTTAAAAAGGGTCAATCTAAATATAAAAAAAGCATTGCTATATATTTTTTGTACATAATTTTGGGAAACTGCTACCACAATGCATGATACTGCTAATCTTCATAGATCAGAAAGCATTCATGAGTTCATGAATAATGGGTTTTTAAGAGAAACTGGGAGATTTGGGGGTTGACTACAACTGCCTTTTCATTTATTTTAGAATGTCAGAAAAAGAATAAAGTTTGTGAATACTGTACCTTACTTAAAATGATATTAACTTTTCATAATTTTAATGAATACTGGACCCATGCTTACTCTCCCTCTCAACTAGTAAGAAAAAAATCACACACTTGGATATTTTTAATTCCCAAGTTAACAAAACAACTATAGCTACTTTTGATATCCATTCAAGTATTAATGAAAGTGACATACTTTAGGATATAGCATAGTTTTTTTGGCCTTGTGTAATATAACCATCTAAGTATTAAATTTTTCTCAAAATAAATGTGGAGTATTGAGTGGTAAGAATTACGTTATGATAATCTCAAATATGAAATATTGTTCAGATGTTACACATTTTCATTTCAAAGCATGCCTTTTAAACCTTCAGAAGAATTAAATTCTGTATGCAAACACTAAATAGCAGCTCTATTATTTTTTTGACTATTACCTGTGTGTAAAAACTAGATATTCCAGCTTGACATGATGCAAAATTTTCTCCAAATTTTCTCACATAATCTAAAATTAAGTAGAAAAACAATTCAGGATTTCATGTAAAAATAAAAATATAATCTGCTTAATTTTGTTACAGATCCTTACAAATATACCTCTTGAGGTCTGTATTTTACACTCCAATTTTATAAAGTCTAACTGATAAACTTAAAAAACACAAATCTCTCCCATTTAAATCTTCAAAATAAACCTATAAAACAATAATGAAAAAACATCTACTCCTGCCTCTTTTTTTCATGGGAAGAAACAGGCAGCACACACACAAGAAAATCAAGTGAAAATTTAAGAAAAAGGTAAGATTTGTGGTTTCTAGTCTAAGATTTCCTTTTTTTTTCTTATCTATTTATATTTTTTACACCATTTGTCATTTTTTACAGTGTTTGCTTTCTTTTCTCAAGTATAGTCCTCATAGAATTTCTACCACCAATTCATCTGTGCACCATCACCACAGTCCCTTGTGCTCTTCCCGCCCTCATTTTGATCACTCTCCATCCCCCTCCCCTGCAGAATGTCTAGGATTTCCTTTTAAAATAGGCTTCATAGATTTTGCTTAGTTGAAAATAAAGGCTGCAGTCAAGATCTGCATGAAGATGGAGGGTCTTTTTATTACAAAGGCCCCATGATTGGATGCTCTGGAACTTACTACAAAGACAAAGCTTTACTTCTGAAAAAATAACATCAGCAAACCTCTATGAAAATAAAAATCAGAACCACACTTGAATTTTGGCTTTACTAACCAGGAAAATTGGATTGCCAAGTCATTTATTTATACAAGAGCTGGGGTACAGGCCAGAGAATGCGGGAGGGTGAGAGGATTCACCAGAGACAGAGTGGGGAACAGAACAGGCAGACTGACGAAATACACTGCTGAGGGGAGCAGCGGGCGAGATAGGAGAGGTCTTCTGTGCCATGTGGGATTCTTGCCAGCTGGCCAGGATCGAACCCACGCTGCAGAGGCTGTGGACTTCACAGTGTGGCGCTCAACCGCCTGTGCCACCAGGGAGGCCCTATAATTACTACTCTTGCATGATTTTTCACGCCCTTAAAAAATTTATATTAATTTTAGATATCTTATTAGGTTTATGCCATCTTGAATTTTGTATACAATGTGGCTAGGATATAGCTGAATAAAAATAAAAACTTTACCGTGAAAGCACTTTGAAGTATAAACTATAAATCACTAGGATAAAAGGAATAAACAGAGAAACCCAGACTGTGTTTTAATGCAATTGAGAATTAAAATTCTACTTTAGTATTCTTGATATTCAAAGGAGATTGGGAACATAAATGATGAAAATTTCTCCATGACATCACATTCCAGAGGAAGGACCTTATTATTAATAGTATCTCTCACTGAATTTGCAGTTGTTCAAAAAGCTGTCAAGTAATAGAAATTTCCTTTGGACACTGGGATAAGCATTTTGGTTAGAAAATTTAGAAACTAGCATTTTCATAATTCTGAGTTTTCCAAAGACATTTTTTAGAATTTTAGTTACTACAGATAAAGTTTTTAATACTCTGTCAACATTCACCCGTAGCTTTGCTCACTTCAGTTATTTATGCTCTAGATCTGTATGCACTAAAGCTAACCTTGGCTTAGAATTTTCATGGGAAAGGCCTTTCAAACCTAAGACACCAATCATTTGTTGTTTCAAGGACAATGTGAACTTGCAAAAAATAAGAGAAACCAAATGGAAAAGATTTGTTTACACTTATACTTTGAATGTTTCTGAATTTAAAAGCTAAAAGTAAAGCAAGAAACCTGAATACTCTTCTTACTTCTGATTCAACCTTTTAAATCTAATTTTATGCTTTAAATATCCTACACCTATTTGTTGGGCGTTAGGCTCATTACACTGAATGAAAATAAATTAAATGAAAAAGGTGGCAATTATCAACAAGATTCTAGAATTACTCAAACTGTAGAATTTATGTTCTTAAAAACACAAAGGGCATTTTTGAAAACTAATACTACAGTAATTGGGCAGAAAATGACAAATATTTTGAGTAGTTAAAAAGAAGAGCTATTTCAAAGAGCTCCTTCGCTCTCAGCACATCCAAAATTGAAAATTAAAAGAGTTTAAAGCATTTACTTGTTTCTCTTGAGAGGTTAACATAAAAGTCATGCCTTACCTTGGTAACAGGGAGCTATTCTTTTACTCAGTTTGGTTCGTAAATCAGCAGGTATTCCATAGCAGATACCCGAGGGGAGCTTATTATCATTCTTCATGTAAAATATGTTTTTCCATCTATGTCCACAAGCCTGAAAAAAACATAAAAGTAGAACAAATGATGTGAAAATCCCAACCAAAACACCTGCTGTTACAGTGAACCAATTCCAATAACCTACCACTATGGATCCATTTTCTCCTGGCTGCCTGGAAAGCGTGACTCCCAACCACTGATTGTCTCTTTCTTCCAAACAAGTCTTTCCACAAGGTTCTCCATCAGGGCTACCTACAGCATGCAGAAACAATTTCATTATCAGTTATCTTGAAAACAAGGTTACTCTGCCAGAATAGAGAAAATAAACACACATGTTCATCCCAATGCTTTTCCTTCATTCAGGAGGGAATGCCTTCATGCCCTACTTTTCTATGATCTTATATTCTGTGCATAATGTGGGATAACTGAATTCTCTGTGCCAATATAATTGTTCCCTTACAGGTGATTTTTGTTTCTAGAAATGACTTGCAACTGGCACACCATGGAGAGATGGCCTCCATACAGGAGATAGCTGGGCAAGATTACCAAGATGGGAGAAAAACAGTTTAAACTAACATAGTCTGTGCAAATAAAACTGCAGTGTGTAACATTTGGCAAAAATACTACACCTTTGTTCTTACTATTTATCTATCATTGCAAACAACATCACTGGTCATTTTTAAAATCATGTCTTGTATTGAGACATTAAGAACAGAAAAACCACAATACAACCCTTAGCATTTAAGTGACAGTTTATTGATGCTGGGAGGTGATGACTGAGCATGTGGCATGTATACCCTTGGCATGCTGACAATGCCTAGCATTTAAAACAAACAGTCCTATGGTTAATATTTAGTGGATTGTGACTTGTTCACAACAAAGAAAAAAAGACTCAAGAAAACAGATTTCAGTAGCAAATAAAAAACTTCAATAAAGCACTTAGCAAATGCATGAAAAGCCAAAAAGTCAAACATAAATAAAATATTACTCAAGGGAAACAGTATTTTTAAACTGTATGAGAAAGTGATCTTCCCAGAGTTTTTTCCATTTTTTAAAATAAATAATGTATGTGATAGCTGGGATCCTGAATTGCAGTGATTTTAAATAAATGATTTGGGGGGGAACATGATACATTCAGATTCCTTTTGCTGTCTGCAATTTCAGACTCTTCAATGGCTCTGTGACAGTTCTGTCCCACCTGAACTTAGTTCCAAGGTGTAGGGCAAGGAAAAATGTCAGGCTTTTCTGCCCTCCCGCCATCAGGATAGATGATGGATCCTTGCGGTCCTGAATGCATGCCTGATGGCGGGCACCTGGAGTAGGGTGTGGGCAGAGGTAGATGGGATTCACCTGGGCTGAGACGGTGCTTTTAAGGGCAGCGTCACGGGGACGCCAGGAGAAGCTAAAAGAGAAGCCGAGAGAAGGCCGGGGAGCCCAGAGTGAAGACCTGCTGGGGGCTGGGAAGCCTGCCAGCCTACCAGCCCCCCAGCAGCCTGCCTGTTGTGTACCTGGTAATCCCAATAAAAAGCCTGCAAAAAACCGCTGAGGACTCTGACTCCTTCTTTACCCGGTCTGCTGGATATTAGAAAACCTGCACAGCGTCCAGTCCTGCCCTTACACAAGGGCAAACAAATACAATTGCATTAATTTTGGTAAGAATTTGGAAATTTGGTTTATTTATTTTAAAGATTTATTTATTTATGCATACAGAGCTGGGGTGTAGGCCAGAGGTGTGCTGCAGTGGCTGCCAATAGCTTCATAGTGCTGGACTTAACCCCTTGCGCCATCAGGGAGGCATCTTGGGTTTATTTTTAACAGTGGTTTTAACACTGGTCAATGGTACCAAATTCTTACACATTAAATCATTCTCTAAATCATTAGGCAGTCTCCTATAACCCTGACCCCTAGATAAAGTTTTCTGGGCAAAATCAGAACACATAACAAAGATAAGGCTAATATTTGAAAGCAAAACTGTTTGTTTGCAATAGAATGTGATTACTTTTTTTCTAGCCAGGTATCTTGTACAATAGTAACAACTCCCACCTATTGGTTATGGTTACCTAAAGCCCAAGGCCAAAAGGATGATGACTACAGATAGTTCTAGTAAAGAATGCCTTGGTTGATCAGCATTATCTGCTTGGAATGGGAAGGTAATTATGCTGCCGTCCAAACCTTAACAATGGATGATGGCCCAGTTGGAAACATAAGGACTCTATTAAAATAAAGGAAAACAGGAAGGGAGAGGAAAGGAGAAAGGTAATTATGAGTGTGTTAGGTGGAAGAGTTTATTATTGGGGCTATAAAATGCCAATGTAATTAAAGGAAAAAGAATGACATTTTTAAAATTTTCATTTTGATGCAATTTTCAGGTTGACCTCACTAAAATCACCAGTTACACTTTTTTTTACTAATATCAAAAATGGGTAAGTGGTAGATTCTGTCTACCTGATGTTGAAGTTCCTCTATCACTGACACTTCTATGAAATATCTTTTCTGAAACTATTAGTCTTTCTAAAGGCACAGTCCATAAACTAAGGTAGTGGAGAAGGAGGGGAAATAGGAGAACAGAGGACAGGTCATAAATAACACACTATTTTTGCTAAAATGCAATGTATTTAATGGACATGTTCATCAAGATGACACGCAGTATTTACCTATAAATTTAGTGCTCTAGAGATACCCACAATTAAAAAAATAGTGAACAGACAATAGTTTAGAAGCACAAAATACCAAGTAAATTGCTTGATGAAAATGGTCCCAAAGTTCTTGCCCATCAAAACAGTGGTAATTCTCTGTGTCTTAGCTGAGTTCTCCTTATCTGTACCATTTAAAAGGAAGACTAGAGAGACTTGTGTTTTCAAGGGCCACAGCTGACTTCAGATTGCAATCTTTCTGTTTTAGTTTTAGCTTCACCATGTGTGTATCACATTGTGACTCGGAGCCTCACAGGTAGTTTCCACACATCACAGCCAAACTATTTACTTTCCTACCTGATCAATGCCCTTGCCTTCAAATACCTTTCTCTCCATGGCTGAGTGTCTCTCAGGCTCTGGGACGCAGACCAATTCCCTCCCCTCCACTCTCCTCGTCCAACTTTCTCGTGGCCTGAGTCACAGCCACTGGCTTTCCTGATTTTCCAGTTTGCAGATAGCAGATCATAGGGCCTTCTCAATTTCCACACCCGAGTAAGCTCTGGCAAGGCTCCTCTTCTCCATCTTGCTACTTACCCAATGGGCTGTTTCTCTTATGAACCCTGACAAAGTTCATTTACTTATTCACAACTGCCCTGTCTACTTCCAAGCCTTGGCAAACACGAACTAACTCATCTAGACCAGTATAGTATCACCACCCCCAGTCCAGCCCAGAGTCCAGACATATGTGCTGAAAACAAAAGAGACAAGAAATGCAAAACTATTCAAAGTTTGGATTGCGGTTTGACTAAGTACCTCTATTTGTCTTCTGTATCTTAAATTAAAATGTGATTACACAAGAATGAATGTAAAGGCAAAATGATAATTCACAAAAACAACAAAGTCATGCAACAATTGTTTTCACAGAAGAAATAAAAAAAAAAAAATAACAAAACACCAGACTTAACTCCCTCCACGTTCCTCTTTTCCACTTCCCAACAATGCTTCTGCCTCAGAGGCAGCAAGCAGCAGCAATGCTAACACTTTCAGCCCTGGTTACAAGAAACAGTTCAAGGAAGTCCCCACTACTGTCCTGGGCCTTTCCTTAATTTCTGGAAACTTCGTACCCTTTTTTTCTTGTAATATTTGTAGAATCCTGGCCAGAGGTAAGGCAGCTCTATCATCAGCTTACACTGGATGCCTCCCCTGTCGATTTCCTTAACCTCCCGTGCTGCTGAGCCCACGCCTTTCTCATGTGACTCTCGGCCTTGACTGGCCATTAGAATCAGCTGGGGGGACATCTGCACAATGACCAACACCTGACCTCCAGCCTCAGTGGCTCAGATTTTACATGTGTGGAATAAGGTCCAGACACCAGACTTTTCTGAGAAACTTCTCAGGTAGCTGTAGCATGTAGCGGGGCTTGCGAACAGTGCTCTAGAGTGCAGACAGGGATGTCTTCTCCTTGTTATATCATATTTGAATAGAAATTACTCTTTAAAAAAATAATTGTAATGCCTTTTTGTTCTTTGTTTCTGCTAAATATGGAAATGGGATTTCTATTGTGAAGCAAAATTTTCTTTATGTGAAACTACACTATTTCTAATTTGGCCAGAAATGATGGTTATTAGAACTGTCATGAGAGCTTATTCTAGGAATTTCCCTGACAGAACATCATAAATAAACTCAGATTATGTTTATATTTTATCCAAATGTCATGCTGAAATGATTTATAATCTGGTTTCCAACTCAGCTCATACATAACTAATCTAAACTCTTAGTAAATCAAATCAACTTATAATTGAAAAAGTACTTTACATGTTTTAACATAAAAGAGGTCAACAGAAATTAACATGTGATATTTTTCCATGTTTTTATACAACTAGAATGACTAATTCTCAGCACAATTGAATGCCTTTTCCCAGTGGATACCAAAAAAACAAAGTCACAGAAAAAATCAAACCACTTATTGTCAACTAAGCCTGCCATTCTCTTTCCTTTTTCAGTGTTTTTCATTTTGAAAAGAAAATGCAAAGATGTATACTTACTGCTTCACTTCTTTTTTATTTCTATCTACTGATTTGGTGGAGTTCACACACATTTATAAATGTGAATAAGCAGTAATTTTGACAGATGAATTAGAAGGGTGCTAGTACAAAGCCAATCAGGTATTTTCTTTACCACTCCCTTTTTATTGTTATTCACATCACCAGTTCTAATATCATTGCTCAAAGTGCCAAAATATGACAGAGACTCTGGAAGACTAGGTTATTTGGTGTTACATATCACCTGATGAGAGCAGATTTACTATTTTGTTGAGAGTGAGTTCCCACAGCACAGCTCTTCCCTACTTTCCTTTCAAAATAGGATTCCCTTCAGATTTAACATAGCAACAGATGATCTGAAGGGAAGCAAGCATTTGCAAATTTGAAGATATTCACAAAATGTGGTAGGTGAGGACAATTTAAAACTGAGAATCAGCTGGAGCCCAGAGAGCAAAGGGTTTCTGCAAGGACTATGGGGTGTGCATAAGTTATGTGTGAAGTGCTTAGCCCAGAACTTGGAAGAAAAAGCATGAAAACATTGGTTGATGTTGACACCATTATTATTATTATTATTTTA